AGAGGCTGCCAGTAACATACTTTTCCCTTGGATCTGCAAGGTGAAGATTTACATCAGCAAAGAAATCTAATTTCTAAAAACAAAAATAGATAACTTCTAGTCATGTGTTTGCAAGACCAGACGCAGTTATTACACCTATTCCTTCTGTACAGCAGTTGGTAAACACTGGATTAATATCCCTTCACTAAGCTACATTTAAGGACTTAGCCAGAACATCCCCTGGTCCCTCAGTCGCCCATGAATCTATCCTTCCCAGAAAAAGACATATAAATGAAGCCAGTTGTTGGGCAAAAAGATGCTGTTTTAACCCGTTCTTTGAGTAATATAAACTTGCCACCAGGTGGTGCTGTTGTATAAAATGAAAACTAAGTGTCTTCTAGTAAAATGAAAGGTGGTCTGAAGATCTGATGAGAGTCACATCAGAAATCAGCTTACCGTGCACAAAAGTTGTCTGAAGGACTTTACTTGGTTCTCTTGGCTTTATTTTTAGTTAAAGGTGGTCCTTTGAACCTTGAAATAGAAGATAACGAAAGTGGTAGGCTTGAAGTTTATATCACCAAAGTAAAGTTAAAATAACCTCTTAGTCTTTTAGAAATTAAGAATAGAAGAGTATTTAGACGTAGAAGGCTATTTTGGAGAAAGGCAAATTATCTTAGTGGTTAAGAATGTAGATGTTGCACTGTTGTGGCAATACCTGACAGAGGTATCCAAATATTACCTCAATTAAAAAAATTTTTTTAAGTAAGTGTAGGTTCTGCAGTGTCAGTCTTAGTTAAGATCCTGACTAGTAGGTATGTGACCTTGAACACAAATGATTGCTGCTAACTTGTCATACAGTAGTATGGCCTTAAGCAGTCTTACATAAATGATATCAGTTAAAACATTTTTACATCATATAGAATTGTTAGGAGAATGAAATGTGTCTAAAGTACGTAGAAAAGTTCCTGACATGCTTAAGTGGTAAATATTGTCCTAAATCTCTTTTCTCTCTACAGCTTATTTTCAGTCGCTTTTTAAAGACGGAAAGCTCATGGTGCAAATTGTTATTTCCTGGTAAGTACATTTTTTCAAGATTTTAAATTTAGCTTGAATGATTAGGACTTTATAGGTTTGACATTTTCTGGAAGAATTGGGGTCCTCAGGTGCATCTTGCACAAATCCTTGAGCATTTCAGTCTCTAGTTCAGTGCCTAGCACTGCCCAATTTCCCAAGAACTTATGCTCAACAAAGAGTTCCTTTGAGCCTTCAACGGTGGTGTAGGACACTTCATCCTTCACCCCTCAAAAATATTGTAACCGCCAGCCCTTTGCTTGCAGTGCTGGGGCTGGAGGCCTGGCAGAATGGGTGCTGATGGAGCTACAGGGGGAGATCGAGGCTCGCTACAGCACTGGATTAGCTGGAAACCTCCTGGGAGACCTCCATTACACCACTGAGGTGAGGGGGCTTTTCTTTCCCTGCCTAATGCCTCAGGAAAGCAAGCTACACCAAGGTGGTGCTCCCAGGACCCAGAATGAGGACTGCCCTCAGGTTTGTTATTCAAGGTCTAGCTAATCTGCTAACCTATCTGCTTGTTCTCCCCCCATCTCTGCAGTAACAGGGAAGTTTAGCTTTGGGGAATCTAGAAGGGTCACATTTGTAAAAGTGGAAATTCTCTTACCTGGGCACAGAAAGCGTAAAAGGGCACATGGGCGGGTTGTCCAATGTGTCTCAACAAAGGTAGAGCCAGACCAGGGAGTGGAGGTGCCAGCATTGCCTGCCAAGAGCAGCTTTAGAAGGCATCTGCGTGTTATGACCTTGCCCTGAACCTTAGGCATCTTGTTCTTGTTCTGCCAAAGGGAATTCCTGTGCTGATTGTGGGACATCATATCCTTTATGGGAAGCTCGTCCATCTGGAGAAACCTTTTGCTGTCCTTGTCAAACACACTCCTACAGAGCAGGACTGTGATGAGCTTGGCGATACTGGCACCCGCTACCTGGTGACAGCACTCATCAAAAACAAGATCCTTTTCAAAACTCGCCCCAAGCCCATTATCACCAACGTCCCCAAGAAAGTATGAAAGAACCGCGGATTTTCCCTAGAGAGCGGCCAACTCCTTGGACTCGTGCTCCGCTGCCACCTCGAGGACGGCTGGACGGTTCCCTGGGACCACAGGGAGGTCCTGGTCTGAACTCTGGCCACTCATTGGGCATGAACTCAGATCCCTTTCTAATGGCAACTGGTTCTCTTGGAAATATGGCCCCCTTTCCAAGGAACCCATCTTTTCCAGCTTCATCAGGTTCAAATCCAGCACCATTCCCTGCCAGTGCTGGTGCTCGTGATCCAAGCATGGCTTCTTTTCCAAGAGGGATGAATTCTACTGGCACAGGTGCAGTTTCTTTCCCAAGGCCAGGTGGCCTCTTGGGCCCAGGCCCCGGCCCAGCTCTAAACCCTAGAGCAGGGGCACTTCCAGGCCCAGGGCCTATGTCTAACCCCAGGGTAGGGGGTCTCCCAGGACCAGGTCCTATGACCAACCCAAGGGCCGGTGGTCTTCTGGGAACAGGTCCTGACCCCAGAAGTGGTGGTCCCATGGGCCCTGGATCTGGACCCAACCTGAGAGGAGGTGTCCTGTTGACTTCTGGGAACGGTCCTCCCAATCCTCGGCCTGTTGGTGTGGGCCCTGGGCCAAGTCCCAGTATGAGATCAGGCTTTGTAGGTACAAACCCTGCACCGAGGTCAGGTATGTTTCCAGGCCAAGGCCTTGGGCCCAACCCAAGAGCAAGTGGCATGGGCCCAGGTCTTGGGCCCAACCCCAGGGCCGGTGGCCTGGGTCCAGGCCCTAATCTGGACACCAGAGCTGGTGGTCTTTTAGGCACAGGATCTGGTCTCAACCTAAGAATGGGTGGACCTCAAGGCTTAGATCTTGCCCCCATATTAAGAGCAGCAGGTCTTTTAGGAGCAAATTCATCCTCTTTTTCACAGGCTTCTGGAAACATGGGTGCAAGCCCATCCCCCATGGCAAGAGTACCTGGTCCTATTGGCCCAAACTCGGGTCCTGGCTCTCGGGGAATCGGCCTTCCTGGGCCAAATCCGTCTCCCATGTCCAGGGCTCCTGGCCCCATGGGCCCTAATTCAGCTCATTTCTCAAGGCCAGCTGGCCCAATGGGAGTAAATGCTAATCCCTTTCCAAGGGGGGCAGGTCCCGGGGGACTGAACCCGTCTGCCTTCTCCCAGTCTTCTGGCTCATTGGCTTCAAACCCAGCTACCTTCCAAAGGTCTACTGGCCTCCAGGGCTCAAGTTCAGCAATGTTCCCAAGAGCCACTGGGCCAATAGGTCCCAACCCAGCCAACTTCCCAAGGGCCACTGGCTTACAAGGCCCAAGTCCAGCTACCTTCCCAAGGTCTACTGGCCCATTAGGCCCTGGACAAGTTACTTTCCCCAGGTCAGCTCCTGGGCCCCTGGGTTCTTCTTCAGCAGGCCCTGTGGGTATGAACCCAGCTCCTTTTGCAAGGCCAACTGGGACCATGGGTCTAAACCCAGCTTCCTTTCCAAGGATGAATGGCCCGGTAAGCAAAACTTTGGTTCCATTTCCTAGAGTGGGGAGCCTCCCTGGCACAAACCCAGCTGCTTTCCCCAGACCAGGGGGTCCAATGGCTGCAATGTACCCAAATGGGATGTTGCCCCCTTAAACACCATTTTCTCTCCAGGACCACCTTGGTTTCTAGGCACTGTGGTTCTGGGCAGGGGCTGTGTTTTAAGTAAAAGGGTAGATAGGGAGCTACAGTCTGAAGTACATAGCTGGGGCTCGAGTTCAAGTGAGCCATCTCTTTCCTTTGCTTCTTTCTTGACTGAAGGTGACAAGTTACTTGTGGGACATGGATTAAAGCAGATGGGATTGATCCTGACCCTGATAAAGGATCTCCACAACCTTCCAAAAGCCTGTTGTGCTTTTGTCCCACAGCTTTCTGCCCCTTGTTTCTTACTAGTTTCTTGAATTGTTCTTGTGGACTTTTCCTCAGGGATACATTGGCCTGCAGGTCCCAATTCATATGTAGTCCCCGCTCACCACTGGAGAACCAGCTCACTGCTTTCTTGAAATATCGCGTTGGTGAATGGACCATGCTTCAGCAGCTCTGACCTGGGCAGCTTGGACCTGGTCATCCTCTACTGCCATACCTTTCCCTGGGGGCTTGAACACAGGACAGGAAGGTGGGCAGCCACTCAAGAGACCCACCAAATAACACTTTCTGCTTGATTGACTGGGCCTGCAGCTTCCTTTTCCTGGGACTCACAGGAGGCCAGAATCAAGGCTCCACTGCTCATCCAACTTCCTCTTCACTGGTACTCCCAATCAAAGAACCTCAAATTTTAAACTGATGTGGAAGGGGTGAAGGGGTAGGGGAGGGGTCGGGGGGGGAAGGGGAGAAATCACTGTGCTTCGTTCAGCCTGACGTCAAAGGATGTTGGTGTTTTTCCTGCATTGTATCTTTTCTTACTGTTTCTTTAATAAATGGGGTGAGAGGGCTGCGGTGTCACTCCATTTTGTTACCTGTTCCGTTCCACAGGGAAGGAAATTTACCCAATGCCTTTCATTGTTTGTATGGCCACCGTTCATGCTCTCAGCCAAATAAAAAGCTTTCACTGGAGGAAGCAAGCTCTGATTTTTCAGCCTAAGCTAGAACTCATCTGCCAGTAATTTTACCAAAGACTCCCCCCACCCTCTACAATAGAAACTAAGCCATCGTGGGTGTGCAGTTACCAAGGTGGGCTCCTGTACTGCCCAGGCCCAGAGGCAGTGTGATGACTTCTAAATTCCACTGGAAGTATTGTACTTTGACAAAACTATTTCTCTTTGCCTCCTGAAACTTGAATAAAGAGCTAGCTTTCATTACCACAAGGGAGGAAGTAGCTCAGAGATCAACATTATGTGAGAAACTTTATTTTGACATATAAGTGCAGTATAAAAAAATTTTGACCTGAAAAGTAAAAAAAAAAAAAAAAAGTAAAAATAAATATGTTTACAAATTACTGTAGAAATAATACAAAAGAGGATTAAAATTCTCAATGAGGAAACAACCAAAATGTGTCCACTCGTATAAAGGCTCTTCCCTTGTAAGAAAAGGGGATAAAGCTGAAGACCCAGTTTGGTTTCACTGCTGAAAAATGTACAAAATAACTTACAAAAACCAGTCGAGGTCAAATGTTGTGAGCCCGCTACTTATACCTGCCTACTTTTGATCTGAGGAAAGTTGATGACCACAGTGCAAGGCAGAGCTGATGGTAGGACAGCCAAGAGTTCTCCATCCAGGAGTCCATTCTACATAAACCTGCAAGTAAAAGCTGAGGGGAAAAAGCCCTTAATGAAGTCTGAACTCTGCAGTTGGCTGACCGGATTTCCTCCATTGTAGTGCTCGAAACAGTTACTTCTTGGCTAGCAAAAAACACAGAAGAGCCTGGGACAACTGCCTGTGGCAAAAGCCTGCTGCCACTTCCCAGCCTTCATGGATTAGGCCCGACCAACGGAGCAGTCTTATCAGAAACGAGGTCTGTGATGCAGAAGTACTGGCTGACCCTGGAAAATGCTTGAGTTCGTGGGTAATGAAGGAAAGCACCAGGGTTTGCCAGTCTGTGGCTCAGAGTACATTTTGTTCCTTTGTAGGAAGCACCTGGGCTCTAGGGGCTTGCTGCCCACCCCCTCCACTGCACCTCCCCCTGCAGTGACCTTTAGGGCTAACCGGCCCTAGGTCCGGCTGGGCAACCAGCGCGCAGCGGGAGAACAGCAAAACCCTACATACCTGCTGCACCTCCCCCCGCAGTGATCTTTAGGGACCCCCCCCCCACTACTCTAAGAGCTGGTTCTTGGGTTACCCAACGCTTTGGAGAATGGAGGTCTGAAGAGAGAACATGCAGGAAGCAATCCCCTAAGTCAAAATTTTAGTCAAGACTCTAGGTTTTAAATCCAAGAGCTGAGACCAGTCTATGGATTGCAAAAATGTAGAAAATGACCATCCCTCACTGCAAAAAAAAAAAGGGCAAGCGGGGCAGGAGTAACATCAAACAGCCTCAAGAGGCCTGAGAAGCAAGAACCTTAGGACTTAAGAACCAATTCCATCTCCTAGTTTGGTTTCTGGAAAGAAGCAAGGAAATGCAGTAGTGACCACCTAAAACTTGGCTCTAGGAAGTCCCTGGAGAAGTCACTGAAGCAAAAAGATGGTCTCAAAGATAACCAGTTGGGGAACACTGAAAAGCTGTGCAGGGGAGATGATTGTCAAGATATAGCCTGAAAGTTACCATGCTACCCAGCGGCCGAGGAACCCATCCAAGAGTTTGAAGATTTTTGTCAGTTTGGTGAGAGGCTCCTGGTCGTTTTTTTCCCCATTCGCTGAGGACAGGCTTGCCTACTGTAGTGCCTGTCAGCTCAGGCTCTGGCTCAGTTGCCACTTTGAAAAATTTACCCATGGAGGCGTAAGGAGGGTAGAAGGGTGATTGTATCACCTTGAAGAAAGCTAAGTGAGGAGGCTGTTAGAGATCAGAGCTGAATTTGAGAGGAATTCGGGATTACACAGGTTGAAATTCCTGAGACCTCACTTCTTTTCTGAACAGATTGAGGTTTCATCTTCCCAGTAGATGGCCAAAACATGTCTCCCCAGCAGAAAAGGCCGACAAGCTAAGGCTAGCTGTCTGAGCAACTTCTAGGTGGAACACAATCAGCCCAAGGCCTCCATGTGACCCATGGGCTTGAGTAGCACCAATCTTTGTCCTCCTGGCAAACTTTCCTTTTTAACATGTATATATACACTTAAAACCAGTTCAGTGCTAACTCCCTGCTGGTTTGGCTTGTCCTTGGGGTGTTGAGATGAGGGGAGGGGTACATCACATAATAAAGCACCATTCTTGGACCCTGTTTTTGGATGCCCAAAGACCGGGCTTCTGGGCCTTGTATCTCAGGCACAATCTTATTGCATTGATAACTACATGGGGAGCTGGGGGGGGTGGGGAGGGGGGCACACTACTAGCTGGCCCAGATCTCAGAAATTGTCCCACCACCTCTGGTTGTGTTCAGATGGGCTAAAAGAACCCCTTCCCACAGGCTGTCTGTCATTGTTCACTTGCCCGTCAGAAGCTGCCACAAAGTGGAACTTAATGTTTGGTTTTTAGCACCCTTCTGAGTTCCCTCTGGAGCCCTGGGGAAGAAGAGACATCTAGAGGCCGCTGTGTGTGCAGAGGCAGCCTGAAAACACACAAGTCTTTACCACCCTGGCCGCCCAGAGCTGGAATCGGTGTTGCTTCCTCCAAGCACAACTGCACCAGGCCACACTACACTCACGGATTCTTTGCACTTCAGATTAGTCCTTTGGACCATTAAGAAACTAAAACAGCACTCCCTCCTCCCTCCCTCCCCTTCTCAGTCCAGTCCCCTTCCCTCCCTTACCCATTGCACTCGTCCCGCTCTGTTTGGGTGCTGTGTCACACCTCAGCAAAAGCTAAGCTATACTGCTCTGGCTTCTTGCCACAGCGCCGGGCAATGATGGCCAGATACAACGTGAGGAGAGCCACCCAGTAGCAGCCATACAGAACGGCCCCAGTGACAAGGAAGACTAGCTCCGTCTCACTGAACAGATCCTGGCAATAAGCTGTGTAGGCCAGTCCCCCCAGAAGGACTGCCACCCAGATGGACACAGGGATGAGGCCAATAAAGTTTACCACGATGGTTTTCCGGCCAGAGGTGCCCCAGCCAGACTTGTTGATGGTGGCGATGGCAAAGATCTTGGCTGGCAGGAGGCTGGACATATAGAGAAGGGAGTAAAGAGACATGAAGATCATTTCTGCATTGCCCCGAAGGAAGCAGGCATAGGTAGCTTTGATAATGCCCACCAGCTGCACCGTCAGCAGGAAGAGAAGAATGTTCCAGATGCGGCCACGGTAGAAGAGTTGTATAACTGTGGCGATGAGGAAGAAGGGGAAGAAGCCTGTGACCACTGATTCGTAGGTCATCCAGAGGTGGTGCTTATGAAACCACAGAGAGTTGTAGAGCCACTCCCGGAAGTAAGACTTGCTCCAGCGGGTCTGCTGGTTGAGCCACCGGAGGTACTTGGTGGGGGTCTCTGTGAGGCACTTGGAGCGCGCTGTATACTTAGTCCGGTAGCCGAGGCTCAGGACTCGGTTGGTGAGGTGCCGGTCATCCCCAAAACTGCATTTGCTGCCTAGAAACTTCTGATGGTACCAGTCCTCCAGGAACTGCTGGAGGAGACTATTGCGGTACATGCCCAAGGGCCCACTAATACACTGGACACAGCCAAAGTAGGACTGGCAGGCCCGCTCCACGTTGAAGGCCATCCAGTACCGAACACTGCTCAGGAAGGAGATCCACGAATCATACTTGTTGAGGATCTGCAAGGGAACCAGAGATGCTGGGCCGCCTCACCTGAGGGCATGCCCCAGGAAGACAGACACCAGAGACCAGGAGGCCTCCCCACTCTGTTCTGTAGCCCATTGCTCAAATTCTTGGCCGTCACTCCTAGCTTAGCTGGGGCTGGAAATCTTGAGGTTCAGAGGAGCCAGCCGCACCAGGTGATTCTCTGAAGCAACAGCCCCACCTCCCCCGCTGCGTCAGCTGCACTGACCGTCCCGCTGAAGTTGCTCTAGCAGTCAAAGCCACCTTCAAGCTCAGGACCAGCCCGGGTGGTGGCAGAGAGAAGGCTTTTAGAAAGATGCAACGCAACACCCCAGCCACTCATCCCAACCCTTCTCACAGCTTGGAAAGCTCCCTGGGAAGACATGGCACATTGCCAACAGAATCCTCTAGAAGAAGATGCTGCCCAGAGCTCCTCAGCACAACTTCCCTAAGAGCCAGGGTCGCTCAAGGGTCTAATTTTAGAGGTGCATGCTACACCACTGGCCAAAAAGGAAGTACCCTCCAGAATTGGCGGCCTCAGGACACTATGCCCCTCCTAGCAGTATAGGCCCTCTCCATACCTGGCAAGTGATCATTGCCCCCTCAGATTAAAAAAGAATAGGAATTGGGATAGATTGCAAGTGAACCCTGTGATAGCAGTGAAAATGCTCCCCAATACTACTATTTGGCCAAGATGCCCATTTCCCAGGTTATCCAATCGGATTAAGATGCAGAGAGTCCAGACACTATCCCCCTCCCAAGAAATCCCTGGTTACTTCTTACTTGGACATCTCCTCCAACGCCCCCCACTTGGGGGTCCTCCTCTAGAACTCGAAGCATCTCGATGGTGCAGGCTGGGTCCAGCACAGTGTCAGAGTCGCACACCTGCAAAGGAAGTCCACTGTCAGCCCACTGGGGTCTGAGGCCTATGCCAGCCCCTCCCGACCGGCAGGACGTAACCCCATTCACATGATTCCCCTCCAACCACTAGCTCACAGACCAAATAGAAGGGGTGAGACAAGGAAAATCAGGAAAAGAAGAGTTGAGATATCAAGCTTGATGGCCAAAAGGCTGAGAGACACACAGGAGACTGCTGGTGGCAGGCCTGGAAAGGGGTAAAGGCTTGGCAATGGGTAAGTTTCAGCCCCTGTGGAGGCAGGTTCACAGAATGTTTCAAAATGTTTTTCTGGGATCCATGGAAGAAAAGAGGAAAAACCATTACAATCAGGTAACAGGCACAGTGGCTCCATCAAGGCCAGAAGACACTCCTCAGAAGGTCAAGGAATGGCTCTTGTCAGAGGCTTCTAGTCTTTCCCAGAGAACCATTAACAGGGTCATGTCAGCCCCCATGTCAGCCTCTGGCCACCTGCACAACCAAGGGGGTGAAGCTCTATCTGTCCAGTCAGCAGCCCCCCACTAACATGGCTGCCAGTTCTCTGTTCCCTTTGCACTGGATGGCCAAGGACTGCTCTCACCTGGATGGGCACAGAAGGTGGCAGCAGCCGCCTCCAATCAGACCCAGGCTCAAATCCTGCCCACTCACCCTTCCTTCCCTGGAGGCTCATGGTCCGATTCTAACAGGTAGTCCATTAGTGGAATCTGGGTAGCTGACTCCTTGTCTGTTTTATGGGGAAATTACTGAGAGGGTACAAACAGTCCAGATAAACATTGGTCAGGGGACTTAGTTTCCCTAACAACAAAGGACAGTGTCCACAGATGAGCCCAAACCCTAGTCTGCAAAAGCCTATAGTCCTTTTACTAAAGTTGTGGAGTGAGAGCTCTTTAGCGCATGGGAACGCTGCCCCCCACCCACACCCACCTTCATCTTCGCGGAAGACAGGGTGGTCACGAACAGCAGTAGAAGGCTGAAGGCAGACAGGCTGGGTTTCTTCTACCCTCTCCCTCGACTCCCCACCTGACCTGGCCTTACATCCTGGCCCATGCCCAAGGAGTCTCAGGCCAGATACACAGAGAGCCCTCAGGCCACAGGCCACACTGCTGTCTCAGCCCCTAATTCTAATCCATTCTTCAGGCTGCTCTACTTCCTTCACTCCAGGGAGGTCTTTCTAGAGGAATAATACAAGCTAAGCTGGGGCCCCTGGACTCCCCTCTGGCTGGGGCAGGGCTCTCTCCTGCAGAGAGGAAGACACAGCCTCAGCAGCACAGGCTGAAATCCACCACACGTTCATCAACTGGAGTCAGGTTTACTCCAAGCAGTGACCCCAGAGCCTGAAAAATAAAGGCTGGCTAGGTTACATAGCTTATTACTCATCTACCAGGACACACAGGAAGTGACCAGGAAAGGAGGCTGTATGGTAGAGCAGGTTTTAGGGACCCTATGCTTCATGAGAACAGGTGACAAAGGTCACTGTGGCTTGAGCCAAGTGTCAGGGCTCAAAGGCTCAGAGGCCCCTTCACCCTAGGTAAGCTGCAGAACCGAGAACTGCCTCACACCCTTCCCTACAAGGCTGAGGAGATCCTTGGGCCTAGGAAGACAAAAATGTTCCAGCTCTCATGTGAGGATGCAACTTTCAAAAAAGCCCCCAAAAAATCTGAGGCAAGCTAATTTTGGGTGGCTGTAGTCCAGAGAATTAAAACACCAGAGGACTCAATATGCTATGGTAAGCCTGAGTTGGTACACAAGAGGGCGACCACAACTGCTGCTGTTCACTCACACACCAAGTGATGGCAAAACTTGGCAGGGGGCAGAGGAACAGGTGCTGGGCCTGAAATCCGGGGTTCTGGGTGTCGGTTTCTACATGGAACTGCAGCATGTCAGCTTTCATCTCCTCAGTTCTCTCTAGGTTTTGTTATTTGAAAACTAAAGATATGTCAACTTTGAGGGCCTCCATGGTGGCTCAAGGGGTTAAGATGCAACCTACGAAGCTATCCACAGCCTCTGCAGCACGAGTTTGATCCCCGGCCAGGTAGCTACCCACATGGCGCTGCAGACCTCTCCTGACTTGCCCGCTGCTCCCCTCGGCAGTGTATTTCAGTCAATCTGCCTGTTCTGTTCCCCACTCTCTCTGGGGAATCCTCTTATACACATACACACACACACACACACACACACACACACACACACCCTCTGGCCTGTACCCCAATTCTTGTATGCATAAATCTTTTTTTAAAAAAAAAGATGTTGGGGCCTCCCCTGGTGGCACAGCGGTTGAGCACTGGGTTGCAAAGCTGTCCGCAGCCTCTGCATGCAGCACTGGTTCGATCCCCAGCCACCGGTGAGGGTCCCATATGGCACGCAGACCTCTCCTGCCGCCCGCTGCTCCCCTCAGTAGTGTACTTCGGTCTTTCTGCCTGTTCTGTCCCCTGCTCTGGTGAATTCTCTCACCCTCCCGTGCTTCTGACTGTACCCAGTGCTTGTATAAATAAATAAATAAATAATACTAATTAATTAAATAAATAAATCTTTAAAAAAAAATGTCAACTTTGTCACCCTCATAAAATTTCCACATTGGTGTCTTTGATTAGAAGCTGGCAGGGTCTGCTCAGGGGTCCAGCCAAGGCTGCTGCAAAATGAAGCTGGAGGATGACTGACATTTGTGACTGTCCTTCCGCCACCTTACAGACATTAATTTGACACCATAAGAGTGGAACTTTTTGGCCTACAATGAAACAATATATGAGTGCTCTGGGGCATGATTTCGCTTGTTCTTCACCACATTTCTTTATGAAGAGACACATCCCCACGTTGCCAATGGTGAGGCAGTATCACTTGGTGGAAAAAATAGACTCAGCTCAAATCCTAGCTATGCACCTTCCTGCTGTGTGACATTAAGGAAGTTACTTAGCCTCTCTGTACTTCAGATATGAGTAGAGATAATAGTTCTTATTCCCTAGGAGTATTATGAGGGTCAAAATAATATGTATGCAATGCCCACTGGAATGCCTGCTATGAATGAAATACCATACACCTGTTTGCTGTTGTCCTTTTTGGAATACCAGTCCAGAGACCACACCAAAGTCACAGAACTGATAGCAACAGAATCGGGATTCCATCCCAGGTCTTTTGGAGGCTGCTTCAGAACCACCAAGCCCTCCTGCATTCTTCAATGTGAAGAAGGGGCAACACAAGGGATCTATAGACTAGACTGAAACTTTTTAGAGGGGCCCATGCCCCGTTGGCCAGATACATTCAGTGTGTACATACTCCTGGGGGGGAGGGGGGTGGTGGTACACTTACCTGGATGTAGTCCACCGAGTCACCAAGGGCCTTGAAAGCTGTGTACATGACCTCTCGCTTGCCTCCCCACTTCTGCATGATGCACGAAAATGTGCTGGTGCGCACCACGTTGCGCACGTGGTCCATGCCCTCCTGCAGGCTGGCTTCCGTCTCGCCCTCACCAGCCTCATGGAAGTTACTGCGCCACACAAAGAAACCAGCTTGCTCAGTGCCACCTAGCACCTCATGGAAGATGTCCAGCATGTAGGTGTCCTCCTGGCGATTGCCGTCCACCACCATGACCACCTTGAGGTCAGGGAAGGCAATGCGCTGGGCAGAGCGCAGGCACTTACGCAGGTAGTCTGGGTCCTCCTGGTAGGCAGCGATGCAGAGTGCCACTGAGCACCGGGGTGGGCAGGGCATCTTCAGAGGTCGGCCTGCCCGCCGCATGCGCCGGTGCTCCAGGAAGGCAAACAGGCTCTGGATGAGCAGGTGCAGCCCCAGGATGGCACCGTATAGGCCGAAGGACAGGTAGTGCTTTTCGGTGTGGATGAACTGGTAGCCTGTCACATATGCTGCCAGGATGCCCCCCAGTACCACCAGGGCAAACAGGCTGGTGCCCACCACACGTAGGGCTGTGGCTAGCTGCACCGGCATCTGGAGGGACAAGACAAGAGATGTGGAATCAGACGGGAGGCATCTCCAGTCAGAGCAAGTGGGGGCGTGATTAAAAACACTAATAAAAAGCATCATCCCCTACTGAGCATAACTAAGACTGTTTGTATACTCAGAAGCCAGAGTGCGGGGATAAACCCCAGCTCTGCCTCTTACTATCTGTCTGTGTGACTATGTCCTGCCTTTTATTAATTCATCCGTCAAATGTGGACTGCGGCACTAGCCTCAGTGTGTCTTTGAAAGTCAAAGAGGTACCTAGAGTAGGTGAAGCATTTCGAGCACTTATTGTTTGCCAAGCCAGAGAGGACCAGGTGACATCCATCTCGGGGGCAGCAGAAGAGCGAGTTGCCTGTCCCCAAGGTCAGCTTCAGGAGCACCTGGGGGCCCGACGGCAGCGAGCCCAGGTGGCAGCTGCGCCGGTCCCCAGACCCCCAGAAGACTGCGCTCTGGCGGGGGCTGTTCACCCATGAGAATCGCCAAGAAAGTGGGGGAGGAAAAGAAACGGCAGGAGCCCAGGGAAAAAGGAAACATCCTCCCTCTCTCCAAACTACAAAATCGGTGAGAGAAAGTTTCCTTCTGCCTCTGCTTTCTCCCCTTTTCCTCATGTGCTCGAGGCAGGAGAGAAAGGGAAAGCAGAGGAGGGAAAGAAAGGACACGAGGGCTGGGTGCGGACAGCCCGCCCTGCTGGAGGCTCAGCACTCCGGGCACCTGAGGGAACCGCAGCTGCCACTGCAGCAGCCTGGGGTGGGGTGGGGCTGCCTGGGGTGCCCCATGCACTTGGTCCTAGTGCCCAGTGGAATCTCCTCACCCGCTCGCCCCACCACTCCTACAAATGCTGCCAGGTTTCATTTGCAACTAAGTCAGGACCCCTGGCATCTGCCCTGTTGGGAGCAGCCGTGCTGTGCTGGAAAGAGCCCGGGACTCTGCACCAGGAGACGGATGCCCGACACAGCTCTACCTCCTCCAGGCTGCCAGACCGCGCCCAGGTTCTCTGAGGCTCGGGACCCCCTGAACCAGGACTTCTAATGGTTTCTTACTTCTTAGCTCTCAGGTAAAGCATTTCCCTGAAAATGGAAATGGAAAAGCATCTTCCAGTCCTGGAGGACTAGCCCAGAGGAAGGCCGGCTGGGAGCGGGAGGGGGCAGACTGAGAGGGGACCCCAAGGCCCTCTATTCTGCCCAGGTTGCCTCCCCACTCCTCTCCTGGCCCCCTGCCTGGTCTGGAGACTCCGGCTCCACCACCACTCACCCTCTACAGACAATGAGGTCTCACTTTCAAGCTTGCTCCAACTCGAGGTCTCACTGACATCCACCTTCCAGCCCCACCCCACCCCAACACACCTCCCCCGGGAACAATGCCTGCGCCCCGCCACCTCTCACACGAGAAGGGTGAGGAACTCGCAGTCACTGCCTAAAATCAGCCTGGGACTCGGGGCACCGGCAGCATTCCAGCAGCTCGCTCCGGAAAGTGCTTTTGGCAGCCCGGCCTCTGCGGGAAGCGCGCCGCCCCGGCTCTGCCCGCTGCTATCCTGGGGAGCGTCCTCTGCGCACTCCCTGCCCCCCCACGGTCCCCTCCTCCTCCCCGGCGCCTGCGGCCCAAGGCCCCACCAGGCCCTGCATCCATTGCCCTAGAGCGCCCCTATTTACCTCTAGAGCTTACAGGCCGAAGGGGCCGCGGGCACCTCTGGCCCCTGCGCCGTGGCAAAGGGCAAAGAGCGCCAGGGCCAGCCCAGCAGCCTGCCGGGTGCCGGTGCCCTGCAGCGGTGCAGCGCCGGGGGCGGCACCCACCGGGTTAAGCGCTCACGCTCCTCGCCCCCCGCCTGAGCCTCGCCTTCTGGGGAAGGCGGAGCCAGCCACACCCACGTGCCGGTTTCCCACGACCCAGCGACCCAGCGGGGGAGACAGAAGACCTGATTCAGGGGGACCAGACACCGCTGATCTTCTGGGGGGGGGGCCCCCGGCTACCTTGGCAAAGTGTGCCTGCAGACAAAGGCGGCTTTCCCGGTGTCGCCGGCCCCCTCCTTCGCCCTGGCGCCTGCCGCCCCCCCACGCCCCCCAGGAATTGGAGGCAGGATCCTAGCGCTCCCTACCTTCCCCATGGAGGACCCACGAAGGTCCTGCAGCAGGACACCCACGTGCGATCAGGCCTTGGTGCGAGCTCTGGCTGAGTTGCCCCTGCGGAGAGGGGACGTGTCACCCCAAGGCGGCAGGGGGCACCTAGACCCCCCCCTTTCCCCTCGCCCGTGAGGCTCAGGAGGAACCCACCCCCCGATATGCATCCGGGATCCAGGGCACGACTGGGGACGCTCCTAAGACACCCCACCACCACCACCACCGCCGCAGGCGAGAACCCCAGCCAAGGTCGCAATCCGCCAAATCTATCCCCGAAACTCTGCAGGGCTGCCCGGTCCGAAGCCTTTCTAGCTGACAGGTGTTGCACCCCATTCCGCGGCCCACAAGCGGCGGGATGGAAACTTGTGCGTCAGGCGGGGGCTCCTTCCCTTGCGCCCCGCCACCTTCGGGGCCCTTCTGAGCCGGCGGGGGAAGGGGGGCGCAGCGCCCAGGATACCTGCGGCCGTGGCCGGCTGCCCCGCGGGCCCCGGGGAGCCGGGGATCTTTGTGCCGGGCAGGTGCGAACCCCCGGGGCGGGGTGGGGGAGGGAAAGCCTCCGAGCAGCCCGGAGTCCCACAGGCTCGCCCTGATCCATTCACAAAACCGGAGCCGCGAGGGAGGAAGGGAGGAGAGGCTGGAGGATGGAGGAAGAAAGAAAGGAGGGGTCAGTCCGGGGGGGCGCCGCGGCCGCGAGGGAAGGCTGGCGATGCCGCAGCCCGCCTCCCGGCGCGCGCACGGCGGCGGGGAGCCGGCGAGGGTCGGGGAGGCTCCCTGGAAGCCGGGGTGCACGGGTCCCCCGCGCACCCCCTTGCGGCCCGGGCTTCCGAGGCAGCCGGCGGGCCGGGCCCGCGCTCACCGTGCCGCCGGCCGCCCGCGCTCCGGTGCTCAGCAGGCCCGCGGCGGCTCCATGCCCCTCCTCCCGCGCCTCGCCGCGCCGCGCTCCGGAGCTCCCAGGCCGCCGCGCAGAATGACGGGCGCCGGCCCGGGGCCGCCTTTAAGTACCGAGCGCCTGCACGCCGGGTGGGGCGCGCCTCCGGCCCTGGGGCCGGCAAAGTTGGGCAGAGCGGGAGTTGGGGGGGCGCCCAAAGAGCACCCCTTCCCGGCGCGGGCGCAGGGGACTCCACGCGGCCGGCACCCCGCGGGGCGCCGCCCCCCCCGGCCCGCCGACACGCGCAGCATCTGGCCTCGGAACCCCGATCCCCGAACAGGGCCGGAGGCTGAGCTCCTGGGCGCTTGCCCCGGGGCGGGGGTCGTTGTGCTCCTCTGGAAGCTGAAGCGAAGTCAAACTTTGTTTTACCAGCAAAGAGTTCCTAAATGCTAGTGTCCACTTGGCCTCCCCTGCGCCACGCTTTCTAAGCCTCGAAACTTACTCACCCTACAAAGCGGGGCGGGCCGAGAGCAGTCGTCCTCCGACTTGTGCACACGAAGGGGCTGTTCGCTGTACGGGGCGCTCCCTAAGACCAAGCAGAACCTTCCAGCCGGCAAGAAACAGGCGCAGAAGAGAGTAATTGTCAAATATAAAAAGACTGGTCAAAGAAGGTGTTAACAATTGTGACAGGCTTAGCTCTGAATGCCGCAGTGGGGCGCTGATGACTTTCAGGCTGCTTGGAAAAGCTGCAAATAGGTTTATAGGAATCTTGGAAGTCTCCGGTCCTAAAGCCAAAACCAATTCCTCCTCCCCTTTTCTACACCTGTATTTCCGACATCCTTGACCTCCAAAATTCCCATCTGACCTTATCACCAGTGGTTTCCAGATCCCTGAAAGCCCAGACTTGGGTGAGGTGGGGTGAGGGAGTGGTAGGGAGTTGTTAGGGAGAGCACAGACCCACCTGAACACACAGAGTTTCTAAATCTCGGGAAACCTCAGAAATTATAATTAATGCCAGTGAAAAGTGAATTCACATGCCCTCCAAACACACCTGAGACAGTTTCCATCAAGTCTTCTCAAATTGTGGGCCTCCCTGGTGGCGCAAGTTAAGCACAGCACTATGAAGCAACCCGCAGCCTCTGCAGCACGAGTTCGATCCCCAGCCCGGAGGTACCCACATGGCACAGCAGACCTCTCCTGCCTCGCCTGCTGCTCCCCTCAGCAGTGGATTTCAGTCAGTCTGCCTGCTCTGTTCCCCACTCTGTCTCTGGTGAATCCTCTCACCACCACCCCTTCCCGCCCCCGGCATCTCTGGCCTGTACCCCAGCTCTTGTATGCATAAATAAATAAATCTTTTTTAAAAAGTCTTCTCAAATTGCAACACATGAATAGGAACCTGAATTGCAATCTACACACTGATGTTTTCAAGTCTTAGGGACTCAGGAACTCAACCTCACCCACTCTGGGCTACAGACCTCACTCCTCCAAAGGGCCCTGACACATCTACTCCACCCATCTCCAATCTTATCATTTTTCATTTTTGCTTGAGAAAAATCACCAGTATACTGCTACATGGTTTTAACATTTTGAGCTTGACACTAGCTATTGAATCCACGATGGAGATGCGTTTTGAAATAAGAGCTAATGATAAAAGAGAGAAGTCCTTCGTTGAGAGGAGGGCTCTGGTTGAAGTCAGCCAGTTCTGCCACCTGCAGTGTGGCACTAACTTCAGAGTCTTCATCCCAGAAATGGGAATTGATATCCTCTTTACCTTACGGTTACAGGAACTGAAGAAACTGACTTAGAGCAGTGCCTAGTAAGTTAGCACTGCTGACTTCCACCAGATGGGCATCCAACTTGCAGGATTCTGCCTCCTGACCCCTGCAGAGCACTGCTTGGTAAGAAAGTCATATGTTAGTAGAGATGAAATGCCTTGTCTCCAAAATACTATGGATTCCCAGATCCTGGGCCATCTTTTCCTCATCACAAAGCCTGGACTTGCCAGGAACTGGGGTGCTCTCTGATCCAACCTTACACTCACATTTGCAATTTGCAGCATTTTAGATCAAGGGAATGAGAGGGGATTGGGAAGTCCAGACAGGGACAAAAATGAGCCCATCAGCATGGTGGGGAGCGAATATGCCAATTTTCAGGATCATCTCCCTGTAAGAGGGGAAGTAGTCCTCTGCAGGGGTAGGCAGGTAGAAGCCGGCAAAAGGATGCCCATCTCTGGTTGAAGCCAGTGTGGCCAGGTGTTCAGTTGTCAAGAGAAGCCAGGTCTCTGGCTTTTTATGTAAAATCTCCTAATTTAAATTGTTGATAAATAATTTCAATATTGTTTGTGGGGGGGGGAAAGTGACCACGATTCCTCAGGCCAGACCAAATGAGTCTCAGTCAGATCCAGCTCACTGGCTGCTGGTAAATGACCTGCTCTGAGGTATAAGGAATGGAGCAACCTGTTTGGAAAGATCTCGACCCCCTCAGCACAACAGTAACATGACTTTTCTGGTGCCTTTCCCTGGAGCTGTTCCAGATCATCTCATGGCTAGTTAGTTGGTACCTAAGACTCCAATTTGGCCCTTGGGCTTCTTTCTCACTGTACTTGGCTGTCTCCTGGGAGGCTTACAGGTGGTGGGCTGGTTCAGCACCACCTAACTAGTTAACTAAATCCTCTTCAGTGCACAGCAGGTCCAGATAAAACACCAGAACAGTAAACACTCTGCCCAGACCAATTGGTTTGACTTGCTAAATGGCCTCCCTTGGGGATAGGCCTCCCTTGGGGGCACATTCTCTTTTTTTGATCAGCAGTGCAGAGACCTAGTGTTATCAGGCAGCTAAGAGAGGCTTTACCTTTGTGTCCAGTCTACGCCAAGGGGGCTTTGCACATATTTAACATTCAGTCTGTGGTGTCCTACTGGCATTCCTCTCTTCAGGGAGAGGTAGGTTGGGTAGTCTTTAAGGGGCTAATACAATAAAGCTCAAGTTTATCTCTGCTTACCACTTGGGATTTAGAAATAGGTCTAATTCCATAGTCAATCACTTAAATGCATAAATTCAGATGTTGCTGAATTGGCTTTTACATGGGCTCCAGGGGCGGTTAGCCCCTATGGGGCATAGCAGCAGATTTGTGCAGCATTTCCACATTCAGGTAACAAGCACTGAAGACCTGCTCTGGGCAGAGAACAAGGCTTTGGCGTCGGGAGTTCTCAGGCTGTCTCTGCTATCTAGAACGCTATCTATTCTGAAGACAAATATTCTTAAGCTATTAAGTCATAGTACAAGGCAATTTATAATTAAATGTTGATAAGAAAATCCAACTAAGAATTCAAGGATTTCAGGGCCTCCCCTGGTGGCGCAGCGGTTGAGCGCTGGGCTGCGAGGCTGCGCAGCCTCTGCAGCACCAGTTCATTCCCCAGCTGCCGGTGAGGGTCCACACACAAAAAAACCCCAAAAACAAACAAACAAACAAAAAAAAAACCAAACAAACAAAAAAAGGGGGGGGGGAATGTGCTGAGGGGGAAAAATCCCTGTGAGCCAGTGTGGGCTGGACAATTTCACGGAGAACTGAGGTGTCGGTGTGGGAAGGGAGGAGCCCTTAGGTGGGAGAAATAGCCTAAGACCCAGAGTAGGTCGTGGGATGGGCAGCTGAGAGAGAGGCATGGGTGAAATAAGAAATTTAGACTACAGAATTTGCAACTATGCCTGCACTGGAAGGAGTGCCTGATAAACCCTGCTATGAGGACAGATTCTGGAAGGCTTGGGATGACCCAATAAGGAGTTGGGTCCTATCTGATAGGTGGTGGAAAACGAGTGAAAATATCTGAGCAAGGTGACACATAGGTGACACATATTATTTGGGACTGAGCACATGGTATTTGGTTGCCAGGAGTGAGGAGACCTATTGGGAGACAGTTAAACTGCGACAGGAGGCGGAAGAGGGGCTGTGATAATTGTGGGTTCTGCCTTCAGGAAGTGGAGGTGAGAACAGGCAGTGGGTCCCTATCCTGGGCACAAATGAGACTAGAGGTGAAGAGTAATGAAGAGAATCATAGTTCTTACATTTGGAGAGCTGAAGGAGTCATTTTCTTTCTTTTTTTTTTTTTTTAAGATTTATTTATTATTTATTTATTAATACAAGCACTGGGTACAGTCAGAGGCGTGGGAGGGTGAGAGAATTCACCAGAGCCAGAGCGGGGAGCAGAGCAGGCAGAAGGACCGAAGTACACTGCTGAGGGGAGCAGCGGGCGGCAGGAGAGGTCTGCGCGCCATGTGGGACCCTCACCGGCGGCCAGGGATTGAACCGGCGCTGCAGAGGCTGCAGGCAGCTTCGCAACCCAGCGCTCAACCGCTGCGCCACCAGGGAGGCCCTGAAGGAGTCATTTTCAAAGCTTCTGAGTGTTTGAGGTAACTGAAGCTGACAGTTCCACAATGGAAGAATTCACCTTTCAACGCATTTGCCAATGCAAACTTATGAAATGCTCAACTACCTTTCACCAGCAAGCAAGCACTTTTCACTCTCTCCTCACCACTGGGGCGTAATGCTGCAGGGACATCGCTGCCAGTGAGCAGATGCTGCTCTGCCGCTCTCCCATGAGTGACTGGGTGGGAGATTCGAGCTCCGCAGGCAGCCCCTCACCCTCTGACCTCACGTTTAGAGCTCCTCGATGGCATCTGGTGAAGCAGAGCAGGACGGGGATTGGCAGTCAAACAAACCAGTCTCCCCCAACCCTCCAGCTTAAAACCACCCATTTCCCCTAGACCGAGCACAATCAAAAACTCTGGAAGCTAAGGAAGGTGAATTCAAAATGGTCTCCAAAGAGTACCAGGTGGTGACCCCAGCGGACTAAGTGGGACTTTCTCAAGTCAAAGCTGTTTAATCTGTAGTTCTAGTTAATGGGTGACCACAGCAAGGTGGCTTCCACCAAAGTCATCCTTTCATACTCTGCCCTCTCTGCCAAGTCCTCTACACTCACTGCCATTTCTCGGTGCCAGGTTTGAAGAAGCAGGTCTAAGGCCTCTTCCAACCTGCAGTACCACAGTTAGATTTTAACTCCGGTCTCAGTGGATGGAGAATCGTTTTCATTTCTAATTAAGGGGCTGCGCTCTGCTGGAGGCTAAGCAGCCAGCCACTAAGAAGGGATCAGGTTCTTTTCTGCTGATTTGAAGGTCAGGGTTAGGGGGTCACCTCACAAACGCTCACTGCTTACCAAACCAGACCTGGCTCACTGCTTACCAAACCAGACCTGGCGATACTTTCCTTGGAATCTGAATGGAACAAGCTGAACTGCTACGTAGGAATAACTACATTCACATTATTATTTTAAAGCCTATGAATTGAAAGGCAGAGAAGTTCACCCAGATACTAAGATCAGGTTTATCTCGGAGGTGGAATACTGGATTTTTTCTCCGTATTCTCTAAATTCTCTATTAAGAAGTATAATTTTGTTAAAAAATGATATTTTTAAATTAGATGAAATCTGAGTGCACAGAATTTCCTTCTAAGCTTGGGCCCAGCTATCAAACATGAATGAGTTTGTGTGAAAAAGGTTTGGCAAACTCAGCATACAAAAGCAAGCAGTATAGGCTTGCTGGAGGGCCAGGAG